TATATATATATATATATATATATATACATATACATATATATATATACATATATATATATATATATATATATATATATATATATATATATATATATATATATATCCTGAGTTTGGATACCCTTTTTTAAATCATTGGTGGAGTTCATGTCAGTAAACTTGGGTAGTGATGATCTGTTAGAGCTAGCAAACTCTAACCAGTGCTGCCAGTCCTCAAATGCTGACGTCATACTTAAACGTTCTTCCTTAGTATGTGGTCTAGTGAATGTCTATCTAATAATAATGATAGGCAAGGGTGCCCTCTGTTGGTAAGAGTGGGGATTGTATTGTTTACCAATTGAATAGACACATTACAACCTCCCCTTGGCAACAACCTAGTGTACAGTTTGTTTTTGCTTATTGGATTGCAAAATGAACCACCTGCTGTTATCTGCTAGCTAATCCACAATATATTAGTATCTTGGGTGCCACTTTATATTAAGTGGCCTTAACTACTCTATACTTGCTTAAGAATACGAATACTGTGTACTTACAGTACTGTGTTCATAATGTATTGCAGAACACTTCTAGAGTTCTTGAGGTGGGATACGGGTAGGTTTAAAGACAGGTTTGGTGGAATGGGTAGGGTTAAAGGGGGGGGTTAAGGTGTAATCTCGGTCCTGGAGGGCTGGGGTCCTGCAAAGTTTAGTTCCAACTCCAATCAGACACACCTGAGCTAGCTAATCAAGCTCTTACAAGGCTTTCTAGAAACATCCATACAGGTTTGTTGAGCTAAAGTTGGAGCTAAAATCTGCAGCATTTTCCAGGACCGAGTTTGGACACCCCTGGTGTAAAGGATGGTCAACAGTGTATTTATAAATGTAATTAGAGACATAGTTAAAGGTGTTATTACATGGTATTTTATTAAGCAAGTACAATGTAAAAGCATGTATGAACACAATAGGAACATTGTAATGAATGATTAATTTCAGTGTAAGTACATATTAGTTAAAGACACCTAGTATGAAATGGGAGCATCATTTAAATCCTTACTCTTTATTATTTGGTTCCTGATTGCTCTGTCCTGATATTCACAGAACACTGATGTAGATGCCCATACACCACACTTATAGTTCATCCAGAAATTTTGCCAATTCAGACACCTGAACTTACTAGAGACCAATCCATCTCACGCAGGTGGATTCAGGAAACTGCATAGGCAAACAGAAAACCCTTTTTCCTCTTCAATTGTTTGCTGAATCTATTTACATAGTAACCCGCTCATAAATACTGAGCCCATTTCAGAAGCATATCTGCTTGTCACAGTGCTATTGTGTCTATGGGCCACTTGAGAATAGCTGCGAGCCACACTGTCTGAAAGCAGAGTAGTTTCAGGTCTTCGGTGGACTGAGGCGATACAAGACAGGACAATTATGGTTATGCTTTTAGAAACCAGTTTGGTTGCGTTCTATAAATACACATGGCTTAAATGGGCTCTCCAAATGATATGTCCACTCGATGTTTGTCCATCACAGAAGTGTAAAAGGAAAATAAATTGAAAAGTAAATACTCTGCACCAAACAAGCTGAAACTGCTATCTTCCCATCTCTGCTTTCAGGATTGGTGGTTCAATGGGCAAAAGATTTGGCATAAGAATAGACCAGGGGTCAGCAACCCGCGGCTCTAGAGCCGCATGCGGCTCTTTAACGCTGCCCTTGTGGCTCCCTGGAGCTTTTTAAAAAATGTTTGAAAATGGAAAAAGATGGGGGAGGTTAATATATTTTTTTGTTTTAATATGATATTAATGATATTATGATTCTATAGGAGGACAAACATTTTCAAATGCTGTAAAAGTGTGTAGAATTCATATTTAATTTCAACATTTCTGTCAGTGAAGATTTGCGTCATAGCCTGCGACACACGTTTCTATCAGCAGGGCGGGATACCAGGCAGGTGGCTGTTGTAAACAAACCGGGAGATAATAAAGCACGGAAAACCGTTCAAAGATGGTGACTACATAAAGGAGTCATTCGTCAACATATTAGAACACCTATTTGCAGACTTCAAAAACAAAACCAAGATAATACAAAAAATTAAAGACATACCTCTCTCCGCTATGACAGTAAAGGAAAGGGCTATTAAAATGGCAGGTAATATCACCGATCAGCAAACCAAGGACATTAATTCAGTCCCTGCATACTCAATTGCCTGTGATGTGACCAATATTCAACGCGCAGGTATGTGAACTCCGATGGGCCGCAAGAAGAAATGATAAAATTAATACCACTGAAAGACCAGAGGCTGTGCTGTGTAAATAAACACCAACCACCTGATTTCAGTGGCTATTTAATCATGAAGGCTTATTATGTATTTTTAGCCAACTTAGTCATTTTTATAGTAGGCTAATATAGCTAATATAGATACATACAGCATGTGTTTCCTTCATTATAAGGCTTTACATTTTTTGCGGCTCCAGATATATTTGTTTTTTGTGGTCCAATATGGCTCTTTCAACATTTTGGGTTGCCGACCCCTGGAATAGACCAATCGTTCAATAGCTTGATGCTTTTGTTGATTCTTGTGGAAGAAAAACCAATGTAGGAGATATTAGTTTCGGTGAACCATTGTATCACATGGATAATAAGAGATTATGCCAGTTTCAGAACTTTAACTGCTGCCAATGAATGGAATGAGTACTTACCACGTATTGTCTGGAACAATGCTGGGCAGTTGCATTGGTTTCATTGAAAACGATGACACCATCGTCTATAAAGATGTTTCCAATTATCCATAATAATCACCTATTGTGTGCTAAAGTGTTTGGAACTCCAACAGTAGCCATATGTTTCCATCCAAAGAGATGGGAAGTAGGTTGATGAGCAAAACTGAAATATCACACAAAACATTTGTGAATAAAGCAGTGTTTACATCCAATGGGTCAAAGAAAACAGAATTGGCACTTCTGATAAACTGGTGCCAGCATTGGTGGTTCAGTGGTAGAATTCTCGCCTGCCACGAAGGAGACCCAGGTTTGATTCCCAGCCAATGCAATTGCTGTTTGCGAGCGAAGCAGTGGCGCAGTAGGTGACTGTAGGTAGCTGTCGCCTCACAGCAAGAAGGTTGCTGGGTCGCTGGTTCGAGCCTTGGCTCAGTTGGCTTTTCTGTGTGGAGTTTGCATGTTCTCCCTGCGTTAGCGTGGATTTCCTCCGGGTGCTCCGGTTTTTCCCACAGTCCAAAGACATGTGGTACAGGTGAATTGGGAAATTGTCCGTAGTGTATGAGTGTGTGTGTGGATGTTTCCCAGAGATGGGTTGTGGCTGTAAGGGCATCCGCTGCGTAAAAACTTGCTGGATAAGTTGGCGATTCATTCCGTTGTGGCGACCCCGGATTATTAAAGGGACTAAGCCGACAAGAAAATGAATGAATTCATGAATAAACTGGTGCTAAATAGATAAAAAGGAAATAAAAAGGAAAATTTAATTTGCTGCTGTAGGAGAAGCCAATGTGGGCCTTTTTTCTTATGTAATGAATTACTAAGAAAATGAAACCTAAACAGGGCCGGTGTCCAACAGATTTTTAGCTCCAACTTGCCTCAACACACCTGCATGGATGTTTCTAAAAAGCCTAGTAAGAACTTGATTAGCTGGCCCAGGAGTGTCGATTGGGGTTGGAACTAAACTTGTTACGGTTTATGGATCTGTGTGTACCTTCTGTATGTTATGTGTCCCGCCATGTGTGTTGTCGTGTGCAAGGGTGTGTTTTTATTTGCCTTTTGTGTTGACAGCGTGCTATATCAGCTGATGTTATCAGTTGACTAATCATCCTCCAGCTGATCCCTGTTTTACTGGCTATTTATTTCAGCCTGTGGGTACTGCTGGTTATCAGTCTGTTTGTTCTTGTCAGCCTGTTCGTCTCAGGATTCTCTGTTGTCTTCGTTTGGCCTGTTAGCATTCTTTGATTTGAACTTTGTCTTTTTTCCTCATGTTCTCCGGCTACTAGCCATTTGGTATCCTTTGATACACATTTGTCTTATTAAATATTACTTGCACTTGAATCCTCTCTGTCTGGCGTCATGACTAAACTTTGCAGGACAACGGCCCTCCAGAACTGAATTTGGACATGCCTGCTCAAGACAGTTCTGAGGTAAACATATTGAACCACTTGATAATGGATTTTAGCTGATGCATTTTAGAAAGACCAAAACAAAATTTCAGATGTTTTACAATATAATCAGTTCACTGGATTTACATAGCCCTTGGCCAGGGGTGTCCAAACTCGGCCCTGAGGGCTGGTGTCTAACATAGTTTAGCTTTAATTTTCTTTTGCATGGAAGTTTCTAATATACCTAGAAAGAGCTTGATTAGCTGGTTCAGGTGTGTCTAACTGGGGTTGGAATGCCCACCAGGACTGATATTGGGCACCCCTGTCCTAGGCCAGGGGTGTCCACACTCAGTTCTGTAGAGTTTAGCTCCAATTCTAATCAAACACACCTGAACCAGCTAATCAAGCTCATACTAGGTGTACTAGAAACTTCCAGGCAGGTGTGTTGAAGCAAGTTAAAGCTTAAGTCAGCAGGACACCGGCCTTCCAGGACCAACTTTGGACACCCCTGCCCTAGGCTATATGGCTGCATTTTGTGTGATAAATGAATGCTACAGAATGGTATGAACCACCAACAACTTCTGTTCCTTTTCACGCTATAATGTTTATTGCTTA